TTTTTCTCCGACAAATTGACAGAGACGCTACCCGTGCTTTCCGTATTCTCTCTAATACCGGATGCAGGTACTTCGGCAGATCGATTCGGCGGTGTAGGTGCTTTGATTCGTCTTTCTTGCCTCCCGTGTCCGGCCGTCGAACCCCTCCTCCCGGCGTCAATCTGAGATCCCAAATGGAGTGCGCCGCAGGGTTCGCTGCAGGAGGTGCTTTTGGCAATACCTTCTTCCTCGGCATTACTGGTTCAAAATCATTTTGGGTTCGTGAAGAATTAATTTGGGAGAGGACACCCATTTCTGCAGCTCTTTAAAATGAAAGGAGACTTCTGGTTGATTATGTGTGTGTTGAATCGAGGAAATCTGATATGACAAGCCATTTCAATTCTGTTTTAATAAATTGGGTATACAGCTGTATATTATTCCTACACAAGTGGTTGCCGAAAACTTTTAGTCAAGCTCTTCAGGTGGAACCCACGCTCAGTATTTAATTTATACCCAAACAAGGATTGCACAGTAAAATGACCGATTTCTCCCGATTTTTCCCAAGACAAATTTGTACCCAATCATCTCCTAAGCTCCTCCAACAAACACCTTCTGGATGGTGTATGGTCCCTCCCAATTTGGCTCTATCTTCCCAACATGCTTCAGCACATTGGCTCTCCTCCCTTCAAGATCACCCACCTGGAACTATCTCTTCTTCACCTTTTTGGCATGAGCTATACACATATTCTGCTTGAGTTGCACCTTAATATCCTCTCCCATTTCCTTACCTACCCTTGCCACTTTCTCCTGCACTCCTCCCACCAAGGCAATCGCCATTATCTCATCTTGTGGGATTATCTCCCTTCTGGTCTCCTTGCCCTTGCTCGAGCTTTCCCCCTTAACTTTGCTTGAGCTCTCTTCTCTGAACTTTCTCTTATTACCTGTCTTCAACACTGCTTGGTAACCGGTCCTAGCCAACTGTTGGTCCCCCGTGAACTTACCCACTAGCTCTCCCACCGAGAACTTCATCTTCATACAATATGTGGACACCGCTGCCTGGAAAGAATTCAAGCTACGCAGCCCCAATATGACATTATAAGCTAACTCCGCCTTTACCACCACAAATCGAACCATCTTCACCTTCCTCAAAGGAGGAGCTCCCAACGCCATTGCCAATTTTACCTCCCCCAGAGGTACCACTTCTTCCCCGCTAAAGCCAAACAGCGATGTCTTGATCGGGGTGATCTCAACACCTAGGTCCATCTGTCTGAAGCATTCATAGAACATGATATCTGTAGAGCTCCTGTATCCACAAGTATTCTCTCTACAACATAGCTCGCAATCTGTGATGTCACCATTAGAGCATCATTGAGAGGCACCAACACTGCTTGGGAATCCCCTGCACCAAACTTCAATTCCGTCAACATCTGAGCAATTTGAACCTCCACTAAACTCTTCCAATCAACCCCCAAATTAGCTCGCCTAGCACCATTTGAGTCACCATCCGTCGACCCTCCAGCTATCATGTGGATCGCCCTCTCTTTTAGGAGCTCGCTCTCCCTGCTCCTCTTGCCTCCTCTTCTTCTCTCTCCCCTCCGCATCGTTGTTCTTTTCCCTATCTTGGACCACAAACTCCTTCAAGTGGCCAACTCTTATAAGCCTCTCTATCTCATTCTTGAGCTCCTTACACTTGTTCGTCCAATGTCCATAGTCACGATCGTACCTGCAGTAGGGATCTCCTCGTACCGGCACCTTTCCTTCTTTTTAGGTACAGGATGAGGCTTTCCAAACATCTTAGCCTCCCCTCGCTCTTCCAACATCTCATACACCTGTCCTCTTGGTGATGTCAATGGCGTTTAGTGCTCATACTTGAAACTCATACGCCCATTCTTCTCATTCCTGCTCTCCCTACTTCCTGACCTCCTCTCATCTGGTCTATGTTTCTCCTCCTGTTTCTTTCCCCTCGCTCGATCGTGTGCCTGGAAATCCGCCTCCTTCTTCTCCATATTCATATACTTGGCACACCTCTCCAATAGCTCATCGTACGACTTTGCAGGCTTCTTGGCTAGCGAGTTTCTGCAGTGACCCGCCTTCACCCCCGG